GCAATGAGTGGTCTAGTCTTTATTCCCCCGGCTTTGGGCGGGGCTATACCGAATAATCACACGGTTATTTTCCGCACTTTAAAAAACCAAACTGCTGCGGAAAGGGAGCAGTAGCCACCTTCGTCACTTAGTTACTTCGTTTAGCTACGTGAAAGTTCGTGAGTTTGATCGGAAACTGTGAAACTTCGTCACCTAGAGAAATTTGCAAGAAAGCTCGTCACTTCTACCGAATTCCAATGAATTCTCGTCACTTCAGTGGGTTGATCATGTGCTGGGTTGGCGGAACAGAGGCGTGGAATCCACACTCACTCGGGAGTGCGACTCTGTACACTGCCCTGGAGGGCGGCGTCCGATAATCGATTCCTCCCCGGCATCAGACGGATAATATTAACTCCCTCCTACTCGACCCACCGCCTTTTTTCAATTTGTAATGGGCTGAACAATTAATTTATCTATCCAAGTATATATCACATCAGTGTCGCGTCTATCATGCCACTTCAACCACCACCAACCCAACACCGGCTCAATCAACCCAACGTCGTCGCTTCTCCCAAACTCGGACTTGACTTGTATTTCTCCTACTTACAAAATACGATATTTCTATATCTCCGACAGAATACGATATGGAGCCCGGAGGGAGGTTCGAGATTGAATGGACTCGACTACCGACTCCTTCCTCCCCCCCTGATAAGTATGCTCAGGGTTCGAGATTCGACCTTCCGCTTCGTTTGCTCAATTTGTCACCCGACCGACGCAGACGTATGTCTCATATGCCGTGTTCTCAAGTGCGCAGTGCCATACTGTAACGTGCCCTGGGACCGTATAAAAAGTTTGATCTTTGAACAAGCACCCAGTTTTCCTGGGGCCCGAGGCCCCAAAGAAGCGCCGAGAGTTCTGAACACGCGCGAACTGACGCGAGCATACCAGGAAACTGTCAAAAAGAGCGAGAGCCGGAAAGAAAGAGAATGGATTTAAGGTGGCGTGATGTCGACAGGGTAGTAAACGTTGCGGGGAGAAATAGGTATGGGAATGTTTATGCGCCGAGGTAAGCCAAGCCCACCAGCACACCAGAGGGAAGGGAGACCAAGAGAGAAAAGGAAAGAGAAAGGAAAAGGGGGCAAAAAAAAGGGGCGGGAGGGACAAGAAGGAAACGACATACGCAGATCTGAGAAGACGAGATTCCGCGAGCGCGCGATCGCTGAAGTCGGATGCGGAGCGGGGAGAAAAGGAAAGCGAAAGGCCCAAGGGCAGCAGCGAACGCAAACGAACGCGAACGCGCATCAGTGTCGATGCTGGACACGGGCGGAATTGGGAGAGAGACAAGAGGGGGAAAGAGCGAAGAAGAAAAACTAGGAACGATGCACGCACCAGAAAGCCTGAAGGCCCTGTACGCCTTGACGGTGACGGAGAGTTGAGTGGCGCGGGGGGCATCTGCGGTGCGGCGTATTGCAAGGCAAAAACGAATGAGGGGAGGCGTGCCAGGTAGGCAAGGGACCAAAAGAGGAAGGTCACTGTAGGCCAGACGACGTCGCGGAAGGAAGGAAGGACCTGAAATCTTCCACACCGAGAGGCTTACTCGTCTCGCAGCAGGACCGCGAGGGAACGAGTGCATGCCTGTGGATTGAGCGACGGAGGTGCATCCAAGTCGGAGGCACTTCAAGACGAAGCACAGCAGCGCCCTTGTACGTCTGTCTCGGGGCGGGGATGAATCCGTTTTCGTTTCCAAAAGCCATCCTGGTAATTGAATTTGAGGTACCGTATCATTATAATCAAATCGACAGGGGTTGTGACGCGTGACGAAATTTAGCTATTCGACATTTCGACAGAGGCCAAAATTTTGTGTGACACTCCCAAAATTTTCGACAATTGGACAGGAAAATTTCAAAAATTTTGCCTTTTTCGCGTTCTGGGACCACCTTTTGGGCCGAGGTCACGCTCGGGAGGTTCGACAATGGCCCACGTGACGCGTGACCCCCACCAAATTTCGACATCGACACCAGGGTGCGTGACGCGTGACTGTCGATTTGATTGAAATCATACGGTACACGTCGAAGCATGCGAAATTCAAACGGTGTAGGCAAGCAGATGGGCACAGCCACATCAAACGTGCTTTGCTTCTGACCACCATCACCCATTGCCTGTTCCCTCAATATTCGGAGGCTGCAATTTACTGACGACGGATTCAACTCGGTGCAACACTTGATTAAACGTATTTCTCAAGTTCTTGGAGCTGATTCTGGGACCGGCGCGCAGCCTGAGTGCGCTTCCGCTGCAAAATGCAAGTCGGACCCGGCCACCTGGTCCACCCAGTTTTAACTAACCAAAGTCAGTCTGCTTGGGCACTAAGGCTTGTCCGAGCTGCCATCGACGCAGAATTATGAAGTCGACGTTCGGGCTCGGTTCTTCCGGTATCGAGCGAAAATCACGTATGCGTTTTTTGGTCTTGTCTTGTCTTATCTACGTCCGTCTTCTTGGTCGATAAACGGTCTTCTGGGTCCTCACCAAAGTTCCAGTCGCCTAGAACTACGGTCGGGAGCAGTAAGTGGATATCACTTCTCCAATTTTCCCATAGCGTCGTCCACATATTATCTGGTTCTTTAGGCTAGGCGCAGCATATGTTGAATATTAGAGGAAGAAGAAAGGACATGCGGTGAATGAAGAAAAGTGCAAACATGTACAACGACACCGAGGTAATCATTAAAGAACGGATAATCCAATCGTCAGCCTTGCTCGAGGCAGGCGGATAATTGGACAGAAGCTTCTCACGACTCTTGACAGATGTTCCTGTGTTGCACCGTGTCAATCTTTGCAACTTGATGAACTTCTGTGCTTCTTGTTCTTGATAGGTGAGGACTCACAAGGTTGCGGTCATGGCTAGAAGCGCCTTTAACGTGCATATTGCGAGGTGAGCTATGCCCTGCTGCTCAATTTCCCACTTTGCTGGTCCACCTTGTGTCTGTCTACCTTTGAGGACTCAGATTCAGCGGAAGCGCATCCGAACGCTGTTCAGAAATCAAGATCGGGAACGCACCAACCGGTTGCAATTCACTGCATGCACATTTCCCAAGCGGGTATTGTTTCACTACTGTTTATAAACGGGGCCGCACGCATAGCTTCGACATGTTCTTTTCCTTTCACCGCTGGTGCGTCTCATCCCTCCGCCGTTCGCTTGCACGCTCACTGAGGCTGTCTCGAGGGTTGTGTTCATCTGGATGCTGGTCATCGCCGGTTCGGTGGCAGCTCTTCCTATTCTTTCGGACTCTGAGTCCCATCATCCTGGGGATGGTACACAGTGCGTGCAAAGACTTCTGACTGGCGTCATCTCCTCTCAACTATTTTCCAGATCATCATCCTTCCTCCGAATCATCTACACTCGGGACGACGAGGACAGCAACAGTTTTCATCCCGTCTTCATCTATGTACCCGTTGGTGGCATCGTAACCGCTGTTGTTGGATGGTGTTACCTGGTCGCGAAGGGATGTAGGAGATCGAAAGGGAAGTCGGTGCAGGAAAAAGATATCCTACCCCCTCCCGCCGTAGCTGAACACCCGCCCATGTAAATGGAATTTAATATATTTATGAACATCATCAACCTTTTGTGTCATCCAAGAAATCTGTCCTTCGCACGCCGCTTACTCAACCCATCCGCGCACGGCGAGCATACTAGTTTAGCATCGACCTCGCGCCATTAATGGCAGGGGTGACCAGCACTAGAGGAGGATCTAACAAACCGGTGACGGATCCCCTCATCGATCCTATTAAGCTGGAGGCCACGATTGAGCAGTTCCGCGGTATTTAGTTGATCCCCCCACAAGTGATGACCCCGTCCGTTGGCGTAGTCTGGCTCAGTTCAATCATTCTGAACATCACAATGAGAATAACCATTTTTGTACTGACCAAACATGTGAAAAACATAAAGAACCAACATACAATGTGCTCCATCTTTTGGACAGAACAGCATGTAAAATGTATTTAAATTATGTGCTGCATACCCAAAGTCATGCAGAAGATATCCAAGTAATGGAGAAGTTATTTTGAACATCTTTCAAATATTGATACAGCAACTATTTAAAACACATTGTAAATTGGTTCTCAATGTATTTCACATGTTTGGCCAGTACCAAATTGGTTATCCTCCTTGTGCATACACGCATTCTTCAAGCAATTTCGAGGAAAATCAGACAGAAGGGTTAAAAACCCATTTCAGCCCTTCACGAAAATCATCTTCCCACTTCTTGGAGGCCTTCAGTTGCCGCAATATAGTGCTGAGTCCATTAGGGAGACCCGGATATCTGAGCTCACAAATCAATTTGTCAAATCTGCAGGGAAAGGGATTGACGCACACATCTAGCTTTGTGGGAATGCCTTTCTCGCACAAGAGTCGTTCATAAAGAAGACCTTCACAACGAGGATAACCAATTTTGTACTGGCCAAACATGTAAAACACATGAAGAACTAATATAGAATGTGCTCCATTTTTTTTTTGTACAGAACAGCATTTAAAATGTATTCAAATTTTGTTCTGCATACCCAACATCATGCAGAAGATATCTGAGTCACGGAGAAGTTATTTTGAACATCTTTCAAATATTGAACTAGTAACCATTCAAAACACATTGTAATTTGGTTCTCAATGTATTTCACATGTTTTGCCAGTACAAAATTGGGTATCCTCCTTGTGCTTTGTCACACAGCGGGTGAGGCTGCAGATCTGAAGGTATGCGGGGAGGTAGGCCGGTGTGGTCTGCCAACAAAGGGGAGATGTCGGGATCGGCCGGAGGGCCACTGAGGAGTATTGAATCTCATCCGAACTCAAGTATAGATAGGATGACGGGAAATACGCCAAGTATGCCAAGTTGTCGGTTCAGCAGTCAAGTGAGCACACCAAACGTTCAACTCGAGTTCGTGCTCTGAGATGGAAGCAATTTATTGAGTAGACGTCAAAAAGAAAGGCGATGCGGGAGAAAAGAACAGAGCTGAACAATACAAAACAAAAGGAATGCCCCCTAGCTGATTCGAACAACTGATCTTGTCATATCGCAATGGAAAGACACGGATTCTTTTTACGAGTGACACGCCTTACCACTGGGCCAAGGGGGCACTGGAAGAAGATGAGGACAGCACCACCTGTACTGGCAGGTAACGAAAGGAATTCACAAATGGGGACATCGGCGCGTCAGGAATCAGGTCCAAATGCGCACAAAGCCAACACCGAAATTGGTTGCAATTTGTGCACCTGCATCCGGTCATGAAACATGGCCATGATACAACACTGTGAATCAAAATTTAAACACATTAAACTTTGGTGTTTGGACTTACTGTACTATTACAACCAAAGGTTCAGGTGACAGTGACATCCAGATTTTTTTGATGTGTTTAAAAATCACCGTAATTGAAAAGAAAATTTTTCGGTCATCTCGGTGAGTGGAAATTCTAAAAATAGTGGACCTTTGGTTGTAATAGTACAGTATTATAATATTTGATCCGCAGTCTAGATCTAACGGAAAAAGCTCTCGATTAACATCAGAAAAACTGCCTGTTATGCCAGACTCCTGAAACCTCCAAGGGCAGTTGATGTGCTCGGAAAATGGGACCAGCGACTCGCAGGCATTGCTGACTGGTTTCATTTTCTGATTTAGGCTTCAGCACTCAGTATGTGACAGTGAACCATGGTTCAGGGAAAATATGAGAGTTATTCGGTGGGCAAATTTTGGGTGCTGCAGTGACAAAAGCAATACAAAATTACTGGATTATTTAATTCAATTCAACAGGGGATCAAAAAACCATTTTAACACTTCAACAAGTTCAGGGTGGGACTGTGACATAACCAAAAGTTTTGACACCTGCCAAACCATTGATAATGAGTTCCTAGGGCTTCGGGAAACCACTACTTGGATTCTGCAGCTAATTCTTGCCATATGGACTTCTGAAGGAGTTTACTACTCGATATCTAGCTAATTATGGCTTTGACAATTGAACCAGTGGTTCAACTGGAGGTTGAAGAGCCAGTAAAATTACGACTCATGGTTTGTGGATTTGTTTTGTCTACTGGAGCACACCGAGTGTGTTTGTACACCTTTTGATAGATCTGGAACTGTTTATAAGCCTTTTTTGAACCGTAAAACCAATTTGACACTTCTCGCTGTGACCCGTGACATGGGTTCAAATGATCTGTTCTTTATGATTTTACTCGTTCGGCGGTGCCCATCACATCGCATATGTTGAGTTTCTTCTTCATAAGGTTTACTTAACCTGTTTTTGCTCTTGCGCAGTGCCCTCGTGGTCTATTATGGACTGCACCATCAAATTTCTCTCTGTGTCTGAGCTGCCCAAATTGGCCTCCCTTGGCTTGCGAGCAAGCCGCGAGATTCATATGCACGCTGGCACTGCACCCTCAAAAGAGCCACCCACCTCATTTCATCTTTCTTCCCTCTTCATGGCCGCCGCAACCCTCCCTCACTGGCAACTGCTGTCTTGGTCGCGATGAGCCTCAAATTGGCTGCAAACTCCCAGCTCCAAGTGGACCCCATGCTCGTAGCTGGAGCACTCAGAGAGAACACCTGGTCAGTATTCCCAATATGCCATTATCTTCCTCCGTCAACTATGTCGAACGAGAACTGGTACTAGACGCGGTAATACTGGCCATCATCAATTGCATGTCGACGGGAAGCTCTGCCTCAATTCAAGTACTGTAGGGTGGTTTAAGTTTAAACCAAGACGTTGCCAACGTTGGCCTGGTTTAAACCAGCTATAGTGAAAGCCGGTACAGTTTAAGCCAGAACGGTTTAAACCAACCTGATGGCTTAAACCAGGCTGAAACCATGCTGGCTTAAACCTGATGGCTTAAACCATGCTGGCTTAAACCAGGTTTAAACCATGCTGGCTTAAACCAGGTTTAAACCATGCTGTTTAAAAAAACCATGCTGGTTTAAACCAGGCATAAACCTGATGGCTTAAACCAGGTTTAAACCATGCTGGCTTAAACCTGATGGCTTAAACCAGGTTTAAACCATGCTGGCTTAAGCCTGATGGCTTAAACCAGGTTTAAACCATGCTGGCTTAAACCTGATGGCTTAAACCAGGTTTAAACCATGCTGGCTTAAACCAGGTTTAAACCATGCTGGCTTAAACCTGATGGCTTAAACCAGGTTTAAACCATGCTGGCTTAAACCAGGTTTAAACCATGCTGGCTTAAACCTGATGGCTTAAACCAGGTTTAAACCATGCTGGCTTAAACCATGCTGGCCTAAACCTGATGGCTTAAACCAGGTTTAAAATGTGCTGGCTTAAACTGTGATGGTTTAAATCGTGATGGCTTAAACCAGGTTTAAACCATGATAGCTTCAACAAAAAAAAAGTCGAACCAGAAGAGTTCAAACAGTGTCACAGGGGGCATGACACCTGCGCACCTTGAATTTAGATGCCTCGGAGGCACCTACCACACACCATCCATGTACCTAAATCTTTTGTGCTTTGACGGTTTGATTACCGGCCTAAGACCTCTAGACAGGTGTTTGACAGACCACGACATAAGAGAGTGAACCGGTCATCAAACAAGAGGCAACGTGGTAAGGGCATATTGAGTGTGCATATGAAATTTGGCATGGTCCGTGGCACCTAAATTTTAGGTGCGCAGGCCTTTTGCCCCATGTGTGTGGTTCAAACCAAATGACTTCAATGAGGTGTCAACCAATTTAACCCAGAAAATCATGGAAACAATCATGGTTGAGTTCTTTGAAGATAATTAGATATTTCAATTGGAAGAATTGATTTCATGTAGTGGTCCTCTACTATAACAGCTGCCCAATTTTGGATCCATGGGCTCAGCTCTGATATGTGCCAAGTGTGATATACTGTGTCAAAAGTATGTGCGATAACTTTGTGAAAAGTAGCATTCTTCACTCATGACAACTTGAGAATCAGCACAGAAAAAAGACAACTCAGAATGAACTACTGCATGTAGATCAAGAAAACTTTATTGTAAAGCAACAGCTCCAGAAAGCACATTATCATTGTTTCCCATTTTTGCCACGGGGCGAATCATAATTTTACACTATATTTGCTCAAGGAGTCGGATGCAAGAACTTTCCTCGCATGTGCACACAATAATAGACAAACAGAGAGAGATTAGTCAGCTGAAATTGCCTTCAAGCAGGAATCATATCGGAATGCCCCAAGGGACCTTGTAACTTTGGTATAGAGAGTGTGCAAGGCTCACAAACAAAATATATTGTTCATTTCTTCAGCAGACTCTGTCAAAGATGAGCATTGGACACAAAAATGGTTACCTGTAGAATCAGAATTGGTCAACCAGCACAGGCTACAAGGTCTTTCGCACACACATATCCCAATTGATGACCTTGTAGCCTGTAGCCTTTCCTAATCTCTCAAAAAAGCTCCCGGTCAGAAGCAAAAAAGGAACTTAAATGGGGACATGTTTTGCAGACTGACCAAATTGATGGGGTAAGCAATTGGATTATGTAGTACGCATCTGTGTGCAAAATTTGTTGAGAGACATACTAGATACATTGCGGAGCCTAAATTAATTTCATGAGAATGCATGCTGCTGTGGTGCACACCGGAGTGATCACTATTTTTGTTGTACAATGTTCACTGAACAACGGTTGTGTGCAAGTATCTGGGTTATATAGCGGGAAATTCGATGAAACAGCCCTGAGATTGACCGTGCTTTCTTGTAGATATGCCATGGGAGTCCAATGAGTGGGGAGGAATTCCACAAAGGTGGCAGAACAAATTATCAGTGATAGGATGTGATCAACCGGAAGGGGTCTGTAATCAGGGATCTTGGGCCAAGCTTTTGAGTTTGCACTGGGGTCAAGCCTTACTTCTGCTTCAATCCTTTCCATCAACATCTTCAATTTGACTTCTGTGTTGCCAGGACATTTTATTTTGACACCCATTAGGGGACTTCACTGTAGGGCCCATTTTCCTGTTTGTGAAAAAATATATTCAGGTGATGGGATGAATAAAGACTTCATTTGTGGAATAAATGCATGATCACCCTGCTTGTGTCATGCTGAATATATTTTTATTGTTTTCAGCAAGCAGGCATGTTTCGTATGAATAAATTCACAAAAAATTGTTTTATTCCACAAACGAGATTAAATCTAGTTTGTGGAATATCTTTGTTGGGGAAAATAATCATCCCACCAGTTGAATATTTTTATTCACAACCCGAAAATACCTATTATTGGCCTAATAGTGGTATCAGCAATACCTGTACCCCACCACAGACAGGAGGTGAACATTCACATCCTACTCAAGATCATTGGGAAAAATGCTCACGCATCTGTGACATTTTGTTCAATCTGAGAACTACAAAAATCTTGGATTATCTACAACAGGGAGCCTTGAGAGGGTCAATAGAGACCTTGCAGTGAGCCACCGGTAGCCACCTGGTGGTTCCCAAGGCATGCGGCACTGAGTGGCTCGAGAAGCACTACACAGGGACAACATCATTTGGTGGCTGACCCAATCTCGTCCAGTGGCAGTTGGTGGCTCATTTTGAGTGGGTTACACATCATTTAGGGCGCCACCAGCACCACATGCCTCGGGAGCCACTGGGTGGCTACCAGTGGCTCACCACAAGGTCTCTAATTTAAATTTTACAATAGGCAAAGCTGTGTTGCATCTGCCTCTGCCTTGGCATCTTGGCATGTGAATTTTCGGGTCCACAGACCAACAGAAGACATGGCAAATGTGATTCAGATAGTAAGCATTGAACATACCAATAGACCAATGAGCCCCGTGTGTACTCTGGGTAATTCCTAATTTTTATAACATTGGCCATACATGACTGTATCACACTTCTCTGTTCAATGCAATATATATTCGCATTTCAAAAAGACATCAGGGATATTGTCCACCACTTCATAGACAAAACTCTCATTCAAAAGTCATAAGTATGAGGAACTCCTGTGCAAAGCAGCAGCCTTACTCACCAAGTGAATTTGTAATATGTCTAGAAGGGTAGGCAGAATCTCAGCTGTGTTCTGATGTATATGAACAGCCAGCCAATTTTTGCAATCCCAAGTTCCACCTGATCAGTGTAACAGTTGTACCAATTTCAGAGTTGATCA